AATATTTCAATAGAATGTGAATTCTTTCCTTCAGCTAAAAAAATGCTAAAACACCACAAAATAAGAAAACTAAACTAAATTTTTCAAATCAGTGTCCCTTTGCCAGGGGTGATTTGGATGAGAAATAATTGTCAGAAAATAGCAGGGATTTACTATAAATTTCCCTACAATTGAGAGTGGGACAGGAAGCTGCATACAAACCAACTGCTCAGTGTGACAGTGGGCTATAGAGGCCTTGCCACTTGGACAAAACAAGTACATTCATTGGGGACTATTTATTCAATGGGGATGTGGCCAAGGAAATAGCATAAGCAATATGGGGAGTCATTATAAAAATGACTCCATGAAAATTTAAACATGCTTGAATATGCCAGCATATTTTAGAAAATAATGACTCAGTGATAACATTTACACTAAAATATCCATTTATACATTAGATGTGTCAATTAGCTTAAGTGTTAAAAAAAAAAGGATCCTGATGCTGTGTCAAACTGCACAGTACCTGGCGCATAGAAAGCACAACATATCTTTGATTTATTTCATAATTTGAAGCCAACTGTGAAGTTGCAATTTTCCATTTGTCTTGGCAAGAAACTTGACAATTTGTTCTCCCCAAAGGCTCAAAATCTAATTACACCATCCAGATCATTAAAAGTCACACATGCTGTCCTGAAGGGATAGAGGGTGGAGTGTCATGAGAACTACCCCCATTAGAAGTGCATATGACAGGGGAGGCTGTGTCACCGTGTTTCCTCAGCAGGCCTTTCTTTTCCCCTTGGAATAGGCCTTCCGCAACCCATCAATCAGGAGAATTTGTCGTGTGACTAGCAATCTGGGCCATACAGAGATAATCAAACCCTTATAAATTGGGTGATAACAAATAAAGCCTGCAAAGTGGGACCGTTAACAGAGCATTTCAACACTGCTGGCCTGCAGTGGGAAGTGTGTCAATGATGAAGAGGGGAGGTAAAAAGAGAAAATAGCGAGGGACGAGTGTACTAAGTCTTAGGAACGGAGGGTGTGTCAGATGCTTAGGGTCCTCCGGGAAGGAAACTTTAGACACCATTGAAAGAAGGGTCGGTGTAAACCCCAGCCCTCACTGCTCACTGCTTTGAGCTGTGCATCGAGCCGCAATGCCAGCAGGAAGGCTCCTATTGCCCGTGTTTGGGTATCCCAGTCTCTTCGGGGCATGCATCCACTTTCCTACCAGTCTTACTTGTATCATCCTCACTAAGAAAGGTGGCAATTTCAGCTGCGTGACTTCACAATCTCCTTTATATCCAGGCTAGGAGTTTTCAGTGAAAGCCTGGACAAAGGGACCTGAAGGGAATTGTGAAGACATGTGGAGAAAATGATCTTTCTTGATAAAAAGAAATAGGCTGCCTCTCTATACGTGGACATCGCTGTGAAAGGACATATTTCCTGAGGCACCTGCAGTTATCTGGGAGCCAATTGAAGGGGACAAATAACAGACTGAAGGTAGAAAAGAGTAAAGGTAGGAGGAGCCTGGAATTTGATTCCCCCATTGATCTGTTAGCCACCCCTAGAAGCACCCAAGTTTCGCTCTTTTTAATGTGAGTAAATGAAGGCTCTTGTCATGTAAGCCAGAGCTTCTTAAAGTGCGTTCTGCATACAAACCATTTAGGCACCTTGTTACCATTCAGTTTCTGACTTAGGAGGTTTGAGTGGCACCTGAGAGTCTGTGTTTCTGGTAAACTCTGAGTGATGTCCAAGCTGCCCACATATGGGTCACTAGTATTTAAAACACGTTTAAGCTTCCATTTATTTAGTTACTTGAAGCCAGACGCATACTGTATGGTGACACAGAAAAGCAAAGGACTTGAATGTTAGATCTAACCTAAAGATGAGCACAATGAACCTTAGGAATTCACCAGCTAAAATAATCATAGATTGTAATCACAGATGTGTGCATGGACTTTGAGATCATCACGGTCTGTGTTCAAATCCTGATTCTGTCATTTATACACTGTGTGACCTGTTGGAACATTATTTGACCTCTCTGGATCTTGATTTCTTCACCAAAGAACACCACCTTCCATTCATCCATTCACACGGTTGCTTTGAAGAGTAGTTGAGATAATGTGATAAAAAGCCTAGACATTGAACAAATGTGTGCTCCTTTTCTATGATGCTACTAGAGGCCTGGTGCACAAAATTCTTCAAAATTCTTGCACTGGAGGTGGGGGTGGGGGTTCCCTCAGCCCAGCTTGTGCCCTCTTGGAGTCCGGGACATCACTTCACAGTCCGGGATCGCTCGCTCCTTACTGCCTGCCTGCTTGCTGCTCCTGATAGCTCGGCTTGCTGCTCCTTAGCGCTGCTGCAGAGGTGGGAGAGGCTCCTGCCACCGCCACCGCTGCTGCACTCACCATCCATGAGCCCAGTTTCTGGGAATGCACTGACCACCAGGGGGCAGCTCCTGCATTGAGTGTCTGCCCCCTGGTGTTCAGTGCGCATCATAGCTACTGGTCATTCTGGTCATTCCGCGGTAATGGTCGCTTAGTCTTTTATTATGTAGATTGGCAGTATGAAATTCTGTATTTGCAAGCTGCAATCATGCCAATGATTTAAAATGGTGCTAGGCTTGATAGAAAAGGACAGATGGAGTCATCAGCACAGACACTCCTTATAATCAGGATGCTGTATCAAAAGCCTGTCATGCTAATATCAGACTATCTTAAATTTGATTGAAAGTCTAATAGAGAAATAATAAAAATTGTTCTTTGATATGACTTATAAATCCTTTTAAAAAACCTGCCTACCTTGCCTCTGATGAGAGAAAAGATTTTTGAATTTGCAGCCTCTCTCTTCCAAAATTGCTTAAATATTGCCAAATAAAATGAGTGTAGATCTGATCAATTGTCAATAAAATCTATTGCCTATAGTGATAGAAAATTGTGAGGAATGCAATTTTCCTAAGTCGAATTGTAAATAGGATTGTGGATGTCAGAGAAGCTTTTAAATATCACAACGTGCTTTCTGGATTTGCAGTGTTTGAAGACCAGGTGATCTGCTCATGTTTACAAGCCCGGTGCTTTGATCAACACAATGTTTTAAATGCCTCTAGGAATAATTTTGGAATGTAACTGGCATAATGCCAGAGCAAGGGATTTTACTAATGACTTCCCAGACACAGTTGTGGTTTGCTGGGCAAAGGTTCCATGAATAGGAATAACTCTTACACAACTTCAACAGATATATTCTCTTGATATTAGGGGATTCTTGTAGCTTCCATGTAGCTACCATGCTACACGGGGCTGTTATTTAGCTTTTAGTATTACTGCTATTGAACACTTTCAAAAATATCTTGAACTATATGTTTAAATACTCAGACTCCATTCTTACATGGGTGAACATGGGTTAAAAACCTGCTTATTGAAGGAGTGCTGAGGAGAATAATGGCTGAGAACATGGGCTTCTATGTTAGCTGGAGCTAAGGTTTAGGCTATTTACCCATTAGTTAGGTAAATGTGGGTCAAGTTACAGTCTTTTCTGAGACTCAGTTTCTTATCTGTAAAGTGGGAATAATAATACCTATTTTAGGGCATGTGGAGAAGATTCAATTTGATAATGAACATGGAGCCCTGAGCACATGATTGGTACTTAGTAAGAGTCTAATAAATTCTAGATAGAAACAGCTTATTGAAACTTGAATGAAAGCAATTCTGTATTGTCTTTATTTCTTTGTCCTACACTTGTGGCAATAAGGGACTTGCCCAGAAAGTAGAGCCGAGTCAACAGCTGATGCACATGTAGTTTGCGTAGGGATGTGATTTTAGGAAATAGGCTTGGGGGACTGAGAAGAGTGAAATGTGAGAGAACTAGAAAGGTATGCAGGTGTGGGCAGCTGAGATTCACGGGCCTTCCAAGGACCATGTGGACTGTCTGAGAGAAGAAAAAGAGTTATATATAGTCTTCTGCTCCTGTCTTCCATTAGTTGGGTTTTAATGGGGGCATTAACACCCTTATATAGGTTTGCAGTGTGTCAGGGATGAGTCCATTGGTTCCAGCAGACAAATTTAGTATCAGAGAATCCCCAGAACAGGAAGTGAAAGATGGAGCACAGCTGAGGAGTCAGGTTTTATTTATGCAATGCTCATTCCTGCAGATGTGAAGGTGGGGGGCATGTGAGGAGAGACAAACCAAGTATTTCATACATGATTATAGAAGCCATGTGCTCTTACTGTGATTTGAGAGCAAATCCATCCCAGGAGCCCACCATTTGAGGACAACGGCTTAAGCAATTCTCCTTGTAGTAAAGATCAATATTTAAGTTACATAATAGATCTACAACTGGCCTCTGCAAGACTCCGGATGGGAATGATGTCTATGCTAAATATCCAACCAAAAGAGGCACATCTCAGGGCTGAGATTCAGGTTTAGAAGAGCATTCTTTTCCCTGGTCCTGTCAGGAAACGCAAACAGATCAGCAGCGACTTCTTAGTCTGTAGGTGTTGAGTTAGAGCCCTACATGGAGGGAATTAGTGAAACAATACTTTTGCCTTCCAAATAGGTTCAAAACATTATGTGTTTATCTCCGTGGATGATTTTATAGCGCTTACCTGTTTTATTTTACAGTTTGGCTTGATATTTTTTAACTTTAAGGGGGAAATGTCACTTGGAAAGCTTGCTACTGGAGTTCTAGGAACCTCTGGGAATGCATCAGTATACTCAAAACAGTGGGATTATGATCAAAGACAAATGAATACCTGGGAAAGTCCACTTGCACAATCCCTCTAGTATCCGGGGCCTATGTGTTGGAGAGCATTCCTTTACTTAAAATGGCATAATTATTCGAACTCAAAATATCAAGCAAATGATAAATGTCCAGCTTCCTATGAAATAGTGTGTCTTCCTTTGAGATCTATTTAGCCTTAAAGGTGAAAGTGGGTTCCAGACAAATGTCTTTCACATTATAAATTGTATTAAATTAATTGAAAAATAGATAAACATTGATAATAATAAAACAGGAGAAGTGATGAACAGTAAAAGGTAAATACTTTTTAAATGTTACTCAAATAGACATTCAATAAAACCACATCTTTCAGACAACATAATTATTTGCATCATAAAAATCTCTAGTGGTTGAAATTTAAAATATTGATTAAAAACCTTCCGTTGGACTTTAAATCAGCTTTAAAAGAAATTTCCATCTTAATAAAATAGGCAAAACTTTCCTTTGAAATATTACAACCTTTTTTTAATGTGTTTACTATTCTTGAGAAAGACCTGAAATGAGTCTTTCAGAAAAGAGCCTTTCTCATTTTAAATTGAATTCAATGGAGCAGTGAGGACACAATTCCAATGCATTCAGAAGAAGAACAGAATATCCCCAAATGACTCACACATTTCCAAATAGCCAGATTTGGGGGTTGACAGAATAGGAGCAATTCTGTGACATTTTTAAGTTTCCTCCTGGTCTTCTAATGTCATGTTTACTCAGCCTGTACTAAGGAATTTTTAAAACCACAAAAATATAGTGTATTACCTAGATTTAGCTTAACTTTTCCAGATGTTTCGATATCATCTGGACGATCCTTAAAGTAAAGTGCGAAGATACTCAGACTTTAGTCACCAAATTTAATCCCCTCATGACTTACATTGACTTCAGACAGTGAAGTTTATTTTACTTTCTCAGTTGCTTACCACTGCAAGTTAGCACAGACCAGGAATGAATGCGTCTTGTGCCTTCATCTCAAGTTAACAGCAGACACTGCTGTTTGTGAACTTTTCATCAATGAATAAAAAATATTTCGTTTCTAACTCTAGAAATATTGAAATTAAACAGTAACAGGTGAATTGGGCAGGCACCAAATACTAAATAGGAACTAGCAAAAGAAATAATCCAGCTCTTTGCTTTTACAATGAAAAAGAGAATTGATTCTGAATTGAGGGAGAGAAGTAAAAGGACCAAGTGTTTTTAAAAAAGCCTTCTCCGCCAAAAGAGCAAAATAGTACTCAGTGGCATTGCATTGTTAACAAAAGTTCTTTATCAGAAACTATAATTTAATATTTCAGTATCTAATTTACAAGTGACAAGGTATCATATCCAAATAATTAAATTGCAACTAGAAAACTATTAACCACTAAAAACGATACCAAACACAACCCAAACATTTAGAGGAAAGCAATAGCTAGAATTTGAATTGAAAAAAATGTTTCATCATATTTGGCTCATTAAACAAAGCTTCCATTATAGCCTGTAAAAGAGCATTTCTTCTAGTTCATCAAAAGTTTATCCTTTGTAGCATGAATAACATGTAAAGATAAATTTATTGATTGCATATGCACAAGTGTGTATATATATATTGTTCAACGCACACTTGTGTGTTGGTTTAACAATATCATATCTACTGGTAACTGGCTGAACTTTGGAAGGTGCTAAAATCCATATTTCTACATGACCTTTGACCCATTTAACAATGCTTTTTTTTGTAAACAGAAATTACATAAAATAGCCTCTTTTTATTAACTGAATATTTTCTTAAGCATAATAATAGGCAATGAAGGAATTGCACTTATTGTAAAGGTACAGTAAAGTGTTAGACTGCCGCTCAGCCACCAAAGATCAGGGACCATAGTACTGATATGTTGTGCATTGTATTCAAAGATGGTGGCCATTAAAATTAAAACGAGAACAACTAGTTACAGAACAAAGAGGGGATAACAGAAAAAAACATGCACTATTCCTACTTTAATGCAAAACTAATTTCTCCTAAGAAACCAACCATTTGACCTTCCTTACACAAAGAAACAGGTTCTGCACCCTTGGCAAAACAGTAGACTTGGACATCTGTATTCAAATTCTAGTTTATTGTCTCTGAGTGTGCTGTTCCAGTGTCATCTCCTCAAGCTGCCCTTGGAATTCTGCAGCATCTACAATATTACAGTCTCTTGGTTAGATTTCATTGAGCCTCAATATCCCCTTAGTTCTATATAGAGTCCATTATTCATCTTCTTCTTCTGGTTCCTGTGGGATCATGGATATTTCTTCCTTTAAGCAATCACTGAAGAATCTGAGGATTGTGCTGTAGAGATGATACTTGCTCTTTTCAGATATGCTATGACCTTCATCTGGATAGACCTAAGATGTTGAAGAGAAAGAAGATTTAAAGTTACCAAAGCAAGTATTGTCCCTCAGAACCCATTCTTTTTCATCAAGTGGCAAAGAAACTTCAGGTAATAATATCTAACCAAAATCTCAACTAATTCTGCGCTGAGTTCTTTATATAAAAATTTTTACTTTTACCCTAACCGGTTTGGCTCACTGGATAGAGCGTCGGCCTGCGGACTGAAAGGTTGCGGGTTCAATTCCGGTCAAGGGCATGTACCTTGGTTGCAGGCACATCCCTAGTAGGAGGTGTGCAGGAGGCAGCTGATGGATGTTTCTCTCTCATCAATGTTTCTAACTCTCTATCCCTCTCCCTTCCTCTCTGTAAAAAATCTATAAAATATATTTTAAAAAATTTTCTTTTTTTAACATAATCATATCATAATCAATGTTTAAGACAGACTACAATTTTTATGTATTTAAATTGAGATTTATTGGGGGAGATATTAGACAGTTTCTTCATAAATATAAGCTCCTGACCTCCCTTTTCTTAGCCTATTTAATTTAGAAAACTCGAAATTATAAATTCATTCACTGTCCTTTGAAATGGATGTAAATCCTCTTTCAGTTTATTGACAGTTTTACAACCCAGGAAATGTCTTTCTCAAGGACTGGAAACCATCTCTTTGACATATAAGCATTGAAGGGGAAAGCACCCCTATCTCACAGTCTCTGAGGGAGGGACTTGTCATAAAGATACAAGGAAGTTTACATTACCTTTTGGTAAAGCCAAATGCAAGTGGACTATGAGTTCCTCCTCCCTAGCTTCAAAGCTTTCTCAGCCCTTTATTTCAACAAAGTTGAATTTAGTCGCTCTCCCTTATTGCTATAATCTTGAATAAAGTCCTCCTTGTTTGTTTAATCTTGTCCAATGGAATTTTTACTTTGACAATATAAAAGACATTAGTGACTTTTCCCCCCAAATACAAATACAAAGGCTGCCACATTAATTCCTGAGTAAAACGTTTTTAAATGGTGCCTTGGTGCCTCTGAGTAAAGCCACATACTCTTTCGGAGTGCTAGCGGTATGACGCACCATCTGGTTACCTGTTCACCTTACCCTGTCATCATGCTAACACTGGCTCCTGGGTTTTAGATATGTTGCACTACTTTTAGTTCTTCCAAATGTTGAAAAATTACAACTAGTTTTATTTCCTTCTTAACTCTTCCTTCAGACTGAAAGTCCCTTGGTCATATAAAGTATGTCTTATTGACCTATCTAGCTTAATGACTGTTGTAAAATAAGTTCTTGATAATTATTTATTAAATATGGTTGAAGGCACAGATCTAAATGGTTTTTAAATCTCTCCTTTTTTCTCATAACATTTACTGAAACCACTCCCCCTCCCAACTTTTTAGTATAAGAGTGATGAAAAATGAGGAAAAGACAAAGGGACTAGAAGAAAGAGAATTATTAGTTTAAAAGAATTCATTATCGGTGATTTTGATGCCGTTGTAATGATCTCATTATTATTTAACAGAGAAGGAGTAAAGGGAAGACTAGATGATACAGGTATGTCATTTATACAGAAAGCTGTCCTTTGGCACTCTCCAAGTCTGTTACCTACGGATTGATGGGGGGAGGGACTGGGCAAGGCAGTTTGTACGCATGCCCAATAAGGTTCGAGTGACGTGAGAAGATGCTTATCTATCTGTCCAGTCACACCTGGGAATAGGTAATTAGCAGGAATAGGCATGGCCACTGCAGAGGCATGAAGCCTGAATATTTAAACTTCTGAACAAAGGGAGTTCCCTCACTCTTGGCTCTTGGCTCTTGGCCCTCTTGGAACTCCTGCTGCAGGCGGCACATTCCCCTGCACTTGCCCATGTAGCCCACAGCCTTGTGAGCTCAACATAATGGACTGATGGACTTTAATTAGCCTGGACGCTGAACTGGGCCCGCTGCAGCATGGAACAGAAGCTCTGGACACTGGCTCTGCTTTTGGCTTTGCTGAACCCACAGCTTCCCTCTTTCAGGACTGGCTTGATGGAACTGGGGCATTAGAAACTGAGGAATGTAATCCACACAACCAAAGTCTTCTAAGGCGCCTCGTTCTCCCATGAGGCTTCTGAAAGTGCTCATTTCAGCAGTGCCCCAAGAACGCCCTCCTGCCAGCAATAGAGAAATCCCACTCATGTATTCCTCCCATAGCAGCATGAATAAAAGTCTCAGGAGAAAGAATTGCATCAGACTATTATACAACTGTAAAGCATGAGCTGATCCACATTCTCAGCACAATTAAGAAAAAATAAATCAATCTTTGATAGCTACAAACACAGTAAAAATAATAGCATGGGGGATGGAGTAGCACAGAAGTTGTGTTCTGATCTCGCAACTAAAAAACCTAAGTAGGAAACCACATCAACACATCTAAAAAAGTGGCTTACCTGCATAGTATAATTCACTTCAGCTTTTATTAGGTGTTTTATTAATTCTGCTGAGTGCTGGAAATGAACTTTTGCTGCAAGAAATTAAATTGTGACATTTGAAGAAATATGTTTATAAGGATAAGAACATTTTATGTCTTTTTTCCCCGAAAAGATTAAATATTTTACTTTACATACATTGCACATTTAAAAGACTTACACCTGGCTATGATAAAACTTTGAGCTTCCCATTATAAAAAAATAAACTGAAACAGGAGCTACTAGGAAGGCTCTACTTATTATACAGATGTTACTTAGACTTACTTTATTGGTTATCATTTATCATTTTTAATTGTACACATTTTATACCATTATAAGAATTTTAACATAGTGAATACTTGTCTGGATAATAATGCAGCAAACCAATTTCTGTTCCTTTCTGAGGATGATCAGGGCCCAATCTCAGTGAGATACTGGCATTCTGTTTTATTTTAAATTAGAAAAGAATACCCCATGTTGAGAAAAGAGAGTACACATCTCCTTATTCAAAGGCTAAATATTTAATGCAGATAATGCTGGTTCTCCCCTTTCCTTCTAGCTTCCTTCTGCCTGACCCTAAATGTCCAAACTGAAGTAAGCAGCACAGCAGGCCAGGTAGAGAGTAGCCCTGGCCCTAACCAGCTTTGAACGCTGGGAGGAATCACTCAGATCTCTGTACAGCACTTTGCTCACATGCTGCCTGCGCCGTTCATTCCCATGCTGTGTACCTCTTCAAATGTCTGTAAATAACTTTTAAGCTAGCATTTTTAACCTGTCTTTGTAAAACTAGGGCAGGATTATCAATAGTTTCAGATCCTTCATAGCTCCAATTCTATGATACTGAACAATACTACTACCTAGCAGAAAATAAAAGCTTCCTAATGGTCATTTCAATCTTTTTAAAATCTACCCACGGTCTTTTCCAACATCTTCCTATTGTACTTAGGGGGAATGACCATGTCGTCTTTGAAGAAGTTTACGACTCGCTCTGTAACTTTAAGCTACTAGAAACGCTAATGAAGAGGAGCAATAGCTAAGGTAAAATGATCTCTCATTTTGTTTACTGTAAGATAATGTTTTGGAAAGGACCCACTATTTCCTGTTATGGATAAGGTTGAAAGATACATGTATAAACTAGAGGCCCGGTGCATGAAATTCATGCACTGGGGGGGGGGAGGTCCCTCAGCCCTGCCTGCACCCTCTCCAATTCGGGACCCCTCAGTGGATGTCCGACTGCCGGTTTAGGCCCGATCCCTGTGGGCAGTCAGACATCCCTCTCACAATCCAGGACCAATGGCTCCTAACCGCTCACCTGCCTACCTGTCTGACCACCCCTAACCCCTCTGCCTGCCTGCCTGATCGCCCCAACTCCTCTGCTTGTCAGCCTGATTGTCCCTAACTACATCTGACTGCCAGCCTGATCTCCCCTAACTGCTCTCCCCTGTCGGCCTGATTGCCCCTAACCACCTCTGCCTCAGCCCCCACCACTGTGGCTTTGTATGGAAGGAGGACTGGAAGACCGGAAGATGTCTGGTCTATCTGGCCTAATTAGCATATTACCTTTTTATGAGTATAGATGAACTTTCCAAATGGATTGTTTTCCTGTTTAGTTTCTAGTGCGAAGCTCATTGATAATTGTCATTTGACCCCTTCCTAAAACTAAACATTTAAAGTCTAATTGACTGATTGAACTAATTTGCTGGTAATTTTTGAAGAAAATATTAATAATGGTTCATTATAGTGTCAATGACTGAGTCACGAAGCCCATAGGGAGTGTGCATGTGTACTGTATGTGTGAGTGTGTGTCTGTGTGCATGGACAAATACACAGGTGCATTTGCTTTAACATGATGAGTGCTGAATCTCTGCTTGCATTTTATCAGATGGGTGAAGCACCAGGCCATGACTGAGTCAGACAGGAATGATGATTTACCTCAGTAGCTGCAACGTAGTGACGGAGAAACTTGAATAGCACTAATACACTCTACAGTGATTGCTAGATGTAAAATAATTTAATCCTGAATATAATTTATTGCTGCAATTGAAGCTTCAGAGCACAATAAGTAAGATTATCAATGTTGGATTCAAATCCTCTTTCTACGAATCGATACTTGTGTGATTTTCGGCAAATTATATAAATTTCATAATATTTATTTTCCCAATTTGTTCAATAAGAAGAGTGATAATAACTACAATATTTTTGTAAAAAACAGGTAAGATGATATTAAAAGTTTTGGGCACATTTTATGACTGTCAGCGACTGCAAGAGCTCTGCTCAGCACTGCTGCTCTGAGTTGCTCTGAGTTCATGTATTCCTCTAAATTCTTCCCGACTATGTGCTCTCTGTTGGGTCCAAGCCCTCTGTGAGGGGCTGGACCGTCCTGGATGCCAAATGGTAGATGGAGAAGCCATGAGAAGTTGTGGGTGTATAAGAATGAGTCTTTATTGCAGAAGCCAGTGGCCACATAGTCGTCAGACAAGGCAGTCCTTCACAGCAATCCCATATAGGCAGCCATACGCAGGCTGGTAAATACATATCTTTCCTACACAGTAGCATTAATCTCTGTACCTATAGCTATTATCTGAGCAGCCACATGCTGCCTCTAAATTCACCACCTTACATTATAGCGGTATCTAAGCTCTCTGGCTCAGCAGCTTCTCCCGTCTCTTCTGCCCAGCTCACTCTAGCTGGTTAACATGGTAGCTGTATCTGAGCTCTCTATGAGCTCCAGCTCTCAGCTCCTCTGAGCTCTGCTCTCTCCTGCACCCATAGGAGCTACATTCTCTGTGCTGACCGACTCTGCTTCTCACACTAGCTGGTCAATAACCTGTATATTACTCCAGAGACAAAAAAGCCTAGTTGCCAACAGTGACATCAATCATTTGGCTATAGGAGGGCACAGCGTACTGTGAGATCGCTGTGGCCTTGCAGCTGTGTATGGTATCTTACTTAACCTAGGCACGGTTAAGTCCAGTGTATTGACAACAAGGCCTCTGTGCTTTAACTGGCCTTGACCATAAGGTGCCTCTGGCATGGTTCCCATAGTGACATATAGTCAGTACTTAATAATTGCTACTTATTGTTATTACTATTATTATTCATATAATATCTTAACACCTTAGAACAAAAGCCTAATGTCCTTCAGAATGTTTATGCTCTCTTTTATCATGTTTCACCCAACACAGGTAGGGTATCATGTAGGTTTGGGGAATATTTTTATATTTTATAGTAGTTCTAGATTTTCAGAAACATTACAAAGACAATACTGAGAGTTCTTGTATATACCTTGCCCAGTTCCCCTATTACTAAGATTTTAAATTTTTATGGTATATTTGACAGAACTTAGAAGCATTTAAACATCATGTCTCTTTAAGCTTTTTTGGTCTATCAGAATTTTTAAGACTTTGTTTTTGGTGACTTTGACAGTTCTGAGGTATTTGATAGAATGTCCTTCTTTTGGGTTTGTCTGATGTTTTTTTCTCATTGTTAGACTGGGAATATGTGTTGTTGTTTTTTTTATGAAATTACATACATGGTGCATACTATCAAAGTGACTTGTCACTGTTGATGTTAAACTTGACCACCTGGCTGAATGGTATTTGTGAAGTTTCTGTATTCTAAAGTTACTTTTTCTCCCCTTTCTATACAGTGCTCTTAAAGCAAATCAGTAATTTCAATCAGCTCTAAAGTGGGGGAGGAAGGAGAGTTAAGTTTTCCCTCTTTGAAAGGGAATACCTGGATAAATTATTCAGAATTCTAAGGGAGATTTGATTATTTTCCACCACTTACCTATTTACTCAAATACATATATAGTATACTGAGCTGAACAATAATTTAACCATGGCCTGACATGCTTGAAAGTTAAACTCAAGACCTGGTATGATCTTTGCTATAATTCTTTTTTAGTTATATGCTATTTACAATGGAGTAAAAATACTTAGGCAAGGCAGGTTGAACCAACAAAAACAAGTTCAAAATTTAGGAATTATTAATTCAAGGCTTTGACTATCCTTGCTCACTTGCCAGGTAGTGCTAAATAAATTAGTTTCCTCCTTGAAATTGGTGTGTGTGTGTTTTTTTTCTCATCTCTGAATGGGGCAATGGATAGTCAGCCCTCTGTTGTAAAGTTTTACACAGAATAATAAAAAACATATAAGTTCTTTATGTGACTATAAAATATTATTAATTACTAGTAATATCAGTCACATACATTTCCGATGTTTAATGTGACAAATGAGAGGTGTTAACAATTTAAGTGGGTAGCCGCCTCAGAATTTTATCTCAGTGCTGTCCTATTATTTTCTAGGCTAGTGTCCTGTTGAAGTATGCTAAATAGCACCATAGAAGTAGTCACTAGCCACTAAATTAAGTAAAATTAAAAATTCAGTTTTTCAATCATTGTAAACACATGCTTATGAACATATGCTTATGAACCACATGTGGCCAGTGGCTAGTGTGTTCAACAGCAAAGACTGAACATTTCTATCATCCAGAACATTGTATCACATAGCGCTGCCATTGAGGATCACATCTTCTCTATTATTAGTCCTGACTTCCTTTTTCCCACTTCCCATAATGCATCAGATTTTGTGCCACTCTGCTCTCTTCTTTAGTAGGTTTATATGGTCCTTTTTGAGCAAGTCTTTGAATGTACCCCTTTTGTTCAAGTTCAGACTCCATCAATGACTAGCAGCAAATATAATACTTACTGTCAGCAGTCCCATGAATTATTAATATATTTTCTTCTTTTAAGCCATGGATATTATGTAGCACACTTGATGCCTACAAAGGGAAACGAAAACACCTGTATATATAGTTCTACCTGTATTTACATTTTTACTGAGTTTTCAGAACAGAAATACTTTTCTTTCTTAATTATTTTTAAATTAGTTACCTGGTATGTGCTTTCTTCTTTAGATGGCATACCAAGGTATCTTTCAGAGAAAGCTGAAGCTGTGACCCAAGAAAACAGAAATTTAAGAATAAACTAAAAACAATTGGAATAGAATATTTCATTATTCAATTTTTATATTTCACATTTAATTGTCATACTCCAGTAAAATTGATTAAATCAGAGAGAAGATAAACAGCTGTAAACATCTCTGATAACACATGATAAATGAACTCAATTGAGCTCCTTTGCATTAGGATTTTGTTTTCTACAAATCAATACAGTGTATTAGGTCATTTTATAGAAAGTACTCACCATACAACTTCAAGTCAGTGATGGGTGCAATTACTGATCCACATTTAAAAAGCTTTTCATCTGATTTTAAGATCATTGATGCAACATAGCCACCATACCCCTGGCAACAAAAGAAATTATATATATAATTTTTGTAGATTTTTTAGCTTCAATCACTATGTTTGGTGATCTACATATCACGTCTCATTATGTCCCAATGTGAACAAAGCATCCTATATAATAAAAGCCTAATATGCTAAGTGACCAGTCGTCCAGTAGGCCATTCAACCAAGCAAATTGTAATATGCTAATGATATGCTAAGGCCACTCAACCGCTTGCTATGACATGCACTAACCACCAGGGGGCAGATGCTCTGACTGGTAGGTTAGTTTGCTGCTGGGGTCTGGCTGATTGGGACTGAGCAAGAAGAATTGGACATGTCCTGGAGCCCTCCTGCAGTCCCTCCCTGGCTGACCAACCTCCCACATCCCACCTCAGCCCCAATGTGCACCGGTGGGGTCCCTTAGCCTGGCTTCTGCCTTCTCACAATCCAGGACCCCTTGGGCAATGTCGGAGAGCTGATTTCAGGCTGATCCTGCAGGCCAGGCTGAGGGGCCCCACTGGTGCACGAATTTGTGCTCCAGGCCTCTAGTATACTAACAATACAATTGCTACTAATCTATCCTATCTAATAAAGAGGGGATATGCTAATTGACCTTCACACCATTACAAAGATGGCAGTGCCCACAGCCAATAAGGAGGGAATATGGTAATTGACTGCCCTGCCCTCAAAGATGACTGTGCCCACAGCCAATAAGGAGGGAATATGCTAATTGACTGCCACACCCTCAAATATGGCGGTGCCCACAGCCACAAGATGGCTGGCAGGGAGGGCAGTTAGGGGCGACCAGGCTGGCAGGGCAGGGCAGTTGGGGGCGACCAGGCTGGCAGGGGAGGGCAGTTGAGGGTGATCGGGCTGGCAAGTAAGTGGTTAGGCATCAATCAGGCTGGCAGGGTAGTGGTTAGGGGGTGATCAGGCTGGCAGGCAGAAGCAGTTAGGGACAATCAGGCAGGCAGGCAGGTGAGCAGTTGGGAGCCAGCAGTCCCAGATTGTGAGAGGGATGTCTGACTGCCGGCAGTCGGACATTACCTGAGGGGTCCTAGATTGGAGAGGGTGCAGGCTGGGCTGAGGGACACCCCCCACCCAGGGCACAAATTTTGTGCACCAGGCCTCTAGTTTATTAATAATAGGAAAGGAGCAAAGGGAAGACCAAATATTGTAGGCATGTTATTTAGGCAGCTTCAACAGGAAGCTACACATTTCTACTCCCTAGGATTCCAATGGAGGGGAGATAGACACATGCCCAGTAAAGCTGGGGTGACTTAGAGAAGATACTTGTCTGTCAATCACATTTGGGAACAGGTCATTGGCCAGAATAGGCATGGCCATTTCAAGGGTGCAACATTTCAGATATTTAATTCCCTAGGAATGCCCTCTCTTGGGCTATTGGTTTCTCTTGTGCTCTTGTGTTCTTGGCATGTTGCATTCTCCTGCATTTTCCCACATGGCTCACAGTCATGTGGCCTCCACACACAATGGACTAAGGGACTGCAACTAGCCTGATGCTGAACTGACCCAGCTGCACCATGGGATGGAAACTCTGGACACCAGCTTTGCTTTCAGCTCTACACTTCTTCCAGAACTAAACTAAGGGAAATGGGACTTTGGAAACCCAGGGATATAATTCCACACAAATAAAAATCACTCACTCTCCTGAGTGAGTCTCAGAAAATTATTTTTCTTGAAATATAATAAGAACACAAGTCCCAGCCCCAGACCCAGGGGGAAATAGATACCCAAAACTCCCTGGTAACAGAAAGACCATTTTGTACACATAAAATTTTGAAAATAGTTGTTTAAATTTTTATAGAACATTATTTTAATAATTTTAGGTAAAATATAAAATTAATCATATAGAATCAGCCCGATCAAGCTGGGGAGGTTCAGCTGAGAGACAGTCTGCAGCCAGGAAAGACAGAGAACTCCTAAAAAATGCGGATGGTTAGAGATTGAGGCTGAAACCTCCCCCTGAGCGCCAGCGCAGTGGCGAGACCGCGCCATCTTAGGTAGCTGTTACCGGCATCCAGAGATCGGCTACTAACCCGGCGGCTACTAACCCGGAGGCAACGACTTGCAAGCAACGCGACTGTAAGAGCCCAGAGGAGACCTGCACCCCTCCACGGAAAGCAGATTCAAGCAACAGCGGCCTCCTGATCACCACACGCTCTGCCTGGGGAACAGTTGCTGTGTGTGAAGCCTCCCTCCACCAGCCAGAAGAGCCACCACAGCTGTGAACAGCACCCACCAGAGGCCCTGCTATCAACAGAGGAGCTGCTGCTACCACAACCGCCCAAGGAGCAACCACAGCCCGAGGAGCCACTGCCACCCAGGGAGCAGCCACTGCCACCCAGGGTCCAGCCACTGAACGACTCAACAACTAGTCATGTCAGTGAGATCAAACATGGGTAGACAAAGAAACCCCCAAAGGAAAGAAAAGGAGGACTCGCCAGAAAAGCAGCTAAGTGAGACAGAGATATGCAACATGACGGAAAAAGAATTCAGAATAAGGTTCCTCGAGTACATGCACCGGATGTTCAAGAAGCAAGAAGAAACAGATGAAAAACTCAACTACTTATGCAAGAAGCTAGAAGAAACAGATGAAAAAATCAACAACTTAAGTAAGTCCCAAGAAGAAATGAAGAGCAACATAGCTGCAATAAAAAACACCATTGAAAGTATCAACAGTAGACTGGGAGAAGCGGAGGACCGAATCAGTGAATTAGAAGACAAGGAAGCAAAACACACTCAAACTGTACTGCAAATGGAGAAAAAAATTAAAAGACAGGAGGAGAGCCTAAGGGAACTTTGGGACAACATGAAACGAAACAACATACGAATAATAGGGGTGCCAGAACAACAGAAAGATGAACATGGATTAGAAAACCTATTCGAAGAAATAATATCAGAAAACTTCCCTGAGGTGGGGAAGAAAAAAGTCACACAAGCCCAGAGAGTCCCAAACAAGGTGAACCCGAAAAGACCCACACCAAGACACATCATAATTACCATGGCAAATGTTCAGGATAAAGAGAGAATCTTACAGGCTGCAAGAGAGAGACGGAAAGTAACATACAAGGGATCTCCCATTAGATTATCAAATGATTTCTCAACAGAAACACATCAGGCCAGAAAAGAATGGACGGAAATCTACAAAGTGATGCAAAGCAAAGGACTGAATCCAAGAATACTCTATCCAGCAAGGCTATCATTCAAAATTGAAGGGGAAATAAGAAGCTTCACAGACAAAAAAGGGCTAAGGGAGTTTATCACCACCAAGCCAGCCATGCAAGAAATGCTAAAGGGACTGGTGTAAAAAGAAGAAATATCAAGCTCAGAAAGAAAACAGCCACACACACACAAAAAAGAAATGGCTACAAACAAGTACCTTTCAATAATAACTTTAAATGTAAATGGACTAAATGCTCCAACCAAAAGACATCGAGTGGCTGAATGGATAAAAAAACATGACCCATACATCTGCTGTCTACAAGAGACCCACCTCATTAGAAGGGACTCACACAGACTGAAAGTGAAGGGATGGAAAAATATCTTTCACGCAAATGGAAAGGAAAAGAAAGCTGGGGTAGCAATACTTATATCTGACAAAATACATCTCAAAGTGAAGGCCATAACCAGAGATAAGGAAGGCCACTTCATAATACTAAAGGGATCAATACAACAAGAAGATATAACCCTGGTAAACATATATGCACCCAATGCAGGAGCACCCACATACATAAGAAAACTTCTGGAAGATATCAGGGGAGAGATCGACAACAATACAATCATAGTAGGGGACTTTAATACACCACTGACATCACTGGATAAATCCGCTAGACAAAAACTCAGCAAAGAAACAGCAATCCTAAATTACTCACTAGATCAGATGGACTTAATTGACATCTTCAGAACACTTCACCCCACAGCTGAGGAATATACATTCCTCTCAGGTGCTCATGGGACATATTCAAAAATAGACCACATATTGGGTCACAAGCAAAGTCTCCACAAATTCAAGAAGATTGAAATCATAAAAAGCATCTTCGCAGACCACGATGGCATAATGTTAGAAATAAACTACAATAAAAACAATCCAAAATACTCAAACACTTGGAAGCTGAATAGCATGTTATTAAATATTGATTGGGTTACCGATGACATCAAAGAAGAAATTAAAAACATCCTGGACACTAATGACAATGAAAACACAACAATCCAAAACCTCTGGGACACAATGAAAGCAGTCCTGAGAGGAAAGTTTATAGCTCTACAGGCCTATCTCAAAAAACAAGAAAAAATGGTAGTCAATCATCTAACTCGACAACTCAAAGAATTAGAAAGAGAGCAACTAGAAAACCCCAGAGTGAGCAGAAGGAAGGAGATAATAAAGATTAGAGCAGAAATCAATGAAATAGAGACCAAAAAAACAATACAGAAAATCAATGAAACCAAGAGCTGGTTCTTTGAAAGGATAAACAAGATTGACAAACCCCTAGCCAGGCTCACCAAGAAGCAAAGAGAGAGGTCCCAAATAAACCAAATCAGAAATGATAGAGGCGAAATAACAACAGACCCCACAGAAATACAAATGATTGTTAAACAATACTACGGGCAACTCTACTCCAACAAACTAGACAACCTGGAGGAAATGGACAAATTCCTAGAAAAATACAACCTTCCAAAACTCAAACAGGAAGAATCTAAAAACCTCAATAGGCCAATAACTATGGAAGAAATTGAAGCAGTCATCAGAAAGCTTCCAGCAAACAAAAGCCCAGGGCCAGACGGCTTCACAGGGGAGTTTTACCAAACATTCCAGGAAGAACTAAAACCTACCCTCCTCAGACTACTACAAAAAATTCAAGAGGAAGGAACGCTTCCAAGCTCATTCTATGAAGCCAGCATCACCCTAATACCAAAACCAGGTAAAGACATCACAATGAAAGAGAATTACAGGCCAATATCCCTCATGAACATAGATGCCAAAATCCTCAACAAA